AATGTATATACTTCGTCATAAATGTTAAAAAAATTGTGCGGCTATATTTCTATGTTATGCATTTTTTAGATTTATGTTTGTACAGTGCTCTAACGAGACGAGAAACAAGAACATTGTATTCGTTTCTCTTTTTAGAGAAAAAAGTTTCTACTTTTTTCATGTCCCTCTAACTTTCCATTTACGACTAATTACAACTAAGTTCGTATTGCGCGTTTTCTCGTTACAAGAACCGGAATGTGAATCTCTTCTTTTATTAGTAACAGTGGGTACTGAAACTGCTTCGGAAGCTCGTTATACTCTGATATTTTACTTTACAGCTTACGTACAAATATATTCAGTTTTTAATCAACATGAATTAAATGCAACGAGTTAAAACCTACGGTATTTAATACCGTGTTCCAAAATTGTAGTAATCCTGTTTTTAATTAAAACATTCCCATTAGTGTAACGAAAAGCGTGAGCAATTTTGGGAGCAGCTGCACATTTTCCAGGCTCTATTTAAATTACGTATTAACAATTATTATATTGAAATCTCTATTTTTTCCGTTTGTGGATCAAACACTTGAAAAGCACCGGGATAGGAAAGAATTGTAAACTGTTTGGTAAAAGGATTAGCTATGTAAAAATATTTCCATTTTTCCGATCGAATTGTTCCACATTCAATTAGCAAACGAACGTCCTCGAAAAATTCATAAGCCTGTAATAGGATTACGTTATACGTCGTATTATACTTTTATTGACGGTATTATATTGTTAAATATTTATAAAAAAAATTCAGGGTATCGGACACAAAAGGATATGGGTACGTCCATGTAAATTAACAAGTTGTTCTTAAAACCGTGAAGCTTTTTTTCGATATAAATAATTCATCTCACATACATGCAGCTATTGTTAATAAAAATAACGAATAATAATCTTGTATGCCTGTGATAAGATCGTACGATTGATTAAATACAAAAAATAACTTCTTAACGAAGTTGACCCAATATTTCTCATTAGAGACAAGTTATTCAACAATATGAAGAACACGGCGGTGACTTTTCGGCTTGCACCGTGTAACTTATTTCTCCTCGTCCATTTACTATATTTTCCTCGTATCAGGCAACCGAGAAGTTCCAAATCCTTTTCTGTCCATCGTAATGCCCGAACACAGCTTGCCGAAACTCCGTCACTTGTTCCCGAGATTTTCTTCGAAACAATATGATGCGCCACCGCGGCGATATAAAAACTCTGAACCCGCGATTACGGAATTGTCGACGACGATGAGTTTTCCCCGTGGCGCAAAAACCGTATAACGTGAAAAATCGCGGATGACGCTCGACCATTGTTGGCCCCTCGTTTCACCGGGGCTCGATCGAACCGCCAAACTTCCCGTAATAACTCAAGGAATTCGTTAACTTGTCCACCCCGCGCTGGCTAGCGCGACGTAAAAAGCTTAGGTACTTTTTCAACGATACGTAACGGCGGTCGCCGATGTTAAATCTGTTTGTTACTTCCGGTTGATTCACTATGACCAAACTCGGGAACTACGTGGAAACAACAATAAACCGGTCGTATTGTATCGAATTCCTCTAGAATCGAATCCTCTATTCGCTATCGCGAGGATTCTTTGCCAGTATAAAAGATTCCGTTTGTTAATGCGTTCAATGCTCTCACGACTTATCCTCCCAAGCTTCGACGTACCCCAAGTAGATTTAAATGTTCCGTTTAAAGCTTTTGAGTTTCGATAATGAATTTATTATAATTTCACATTTTTTGCAATATCCACGATTATCTCTCATGCCAAAAACTAATCTGGAAGCCGGAAGGAACAGTGTAACTAAAGTTCTGTTTTGACGAATGAAGATTAATATGAAATAGCGAAGTTTGAATTTTTATGAGGGGGCGAAATGCGGTTAGAGCCGCGGGATGCGCGAGCACACGCACTCGTTCGCGGCGTCAGGTGCACGCGGACTTGTGAAATGTATCGCGGGTAAAGAAAACGGGCAAAATATTCTTCCACGGCTGTTTCCGCGTAGGGAGTTTTGCAATTCTGATTACTCGCTCGAGGCTTCGCGTGCCGTTTAATTTGCGTAAACCGTGGCTCCCCATCTGCAAAGCCGGCTCGCGTCGCGTCGCACGAACCCGAGAGCGCGTTTCAACGATAAAAAAGAAACGACCGCCGAGAATCGTAATTGATCGATCCGCGGCGTACTTTCGAATTGGATGAAAATGTCAGAAATGAACTGACGGCTGTGACCGCGACCGATAATTTATTGCGCTCGAAACGTCGAACCGCGGAAAATTTAGATGCCGATAGGAAATTGTGCGACTTTAATAATCGGTCAAAAACAAGAACACGACGATGCTTGAACAATTTACAAATAATATCTTCCGATTTCAGCGACGTGAAAAGAAATGTTTTAATTAGTAAAAAAGCAATGAGACGAAGTATCATAATTAGTGTAAGTTTTGATGGCTTACAGTTGTCATAAAGCATAGGATTAAAATAATTGACAACAAGATGCTTAAATACTTCTCTGTTATAAATGAGGTACACGAGAAATGCGATTACACAATTATAATAAATATCCGCCTTACGACTTTTTAACAGATCTCATTAGAAGTTGAAAAATATGAACTTTTACCATCTGTTCCCATTATGAGGCTTTCGTTCTATAAACTATGTACCTTGAGCGGCATTAACGAAATCGGTGTTAGCAATTGAATCGAGGAAAAAGAATACAGTACAGATAGAGAAACCGGCGAGAATTCTCCATTTCTGATCGTAGCCTTTTGCGGTCACGAAACGGAGCTTAGTTTGCTTAATTCACGGTTTCGCAGGTTCGCGCCGGAAATATCAGAGTTAAAACGGTTAATCGGGCTCTTCATCCCTTTGGGAGACAGAGAATTTCACCAAAGAGAGGGAGAACTTTTGAGAATCGTAATTAACGAATACAATTTTGCACTGTCTAAAAAATTAAAGTAACAGTTGACATTGATGGACTTTAAAGAGAATCGTTTTCAACAGTTTAAATGTTACAGAAAAGTGATGTTGCTTATATTCTGTTGATAAGTTCTAACAGAATATAATTTATATTCAAATGCATCAGAATATTTCGATTCTGTAGAGTTTATGTATCGCGATTCATAAGGACTGTGTAATTTGCAAATAAATGTAGTTCCGAGGATGAGACGATATTTTTTTTTTTGCATCGGGTAACGGTTGGAGAAAAAAGGGGGAAGAAAACTAGTAGAAGTCAAACGGAGATTGAGAACATATGTCCTCAAAAGCAGTCCCTAGAAACTTTCAGCATGCACCGTGTGCCTGCCTACATCTCCCAGAATTCCTTTCAATTCGAAATGAAAGGAGGGAAGTGCTCCTCCAACTTCGCAGCTTTTGGCCTTTATGCGCGAAGAATTTTCATTTATTTTTCCTCTACTTGCTGTGCGGCAACTGTCACTGGGATACCGTCGTACGAAAATCAATGAGGTCTTAAGTGTCTAATAATTTCTCAACCAGTTTCGCAATGTTCATCTTCAGAAATTGCGTCAGAAACGCTGTTCACTGTTTTGATATTTTTATTACAACGTATGAATACCCGTAAAATATCTTTTTATACATTTTTTCTTTACACAAAAAAAAAAAAACGTGCTCGCGAATAATGGAACGCAAACGTTGTTGTCACAGTTCTGCATACAAACGTAACGTTTATTTACAATGATACGCCTGATCTTGCAAAAAAACAGAAAAAAAAAGGACGAGGACGTGTGTGAATACCTTGCATTTTCATGTTTTGTTTCGAGCTCGCGCTAAATAAATTTTCTATGCGATTAAACTTTTCAGAAAACCGTTACACACCACTCGGGTATAAAATACAAAATCTGCGAAATGCCACATTGCTAGGTATTTGCACCGGTCGAGGGTATTCGTTGAAAGGAAATAGCGCGTGGATGAAATACTGTTGAGCCTGCTTGCAAAATATTACAATTTACATTATACATTATTTGCAGAAATCGCTGTAATTGCGAAATATTTAGAGTCGTTTCCCTTTTATACGTGGCAATTTAAAGGCGTCGCGTTAAATTATATTTTAGACTTACACCATTAGTTTCTATGTTCGAAAATCCGAAAATATCAGTAAATGCAATTATAGAAAAACATTTGGTTCCTCGCAATATCGCCTTTCTTTAAAATTACGAAATCAGCTTTGTTAATAACAAAGAACATAGAAAACGTTGATGCAAATGTTTAGTCTACTTCCTATTTCAGTAGATGAGAATTGTATCGCTTTCTCGAGAAGCACGCAACGTGTACACGAAAAAAGAATATGAACAGCTGAGCGATTTTTCCGCGTTTCGAGAGAAGGGCAGAAATCAGTCCGCGGAGTTTGGTTTTCGTGGCACAGGGATGTCTACCTAGTTCTGCGTAGCCGGAAGCTAGTATGTAATAAGAGGTCTTATCCTGCAGCGACATCAAGACGCAGCAAAAGCTCGACTCTCTCGCTCTCTGTTTTAATATGAATGACGTATACGGTTCAATTCCTCCGGGCTTTAATGGGTCGAATCGTCGATAATCCCAGTGAACGGGGAACGTCAGCGGAAAATACAAAAAAGGGCCGGCCTCGCGGTTCGTCGAAAGGGGGAAGGAAGGAAGCCGTGTAGAAGTAGTGAAAGATAGAGAAACGGGGGCCGGGGAAGGAAATGGTATGTTGATCTAGAGGGTATATAACGAAAGGAGGAGAGAGGATGGATGGGGGATGGAAGGAGCGAGAAGAAAAATTGTACGTTTGCGCGAACGTGGACGTGTGTACAAAAGGTTAGGGAACGTGGGGGGAGGCGCGGAACGGAGGAGAGGGTGGGAATGAGCTAGGCGGAGGGAGCGAGAGGAATTGTCATTCGGTGGAATTGCAATTTCTCGCTGACGCGTGCTGTGCAACCTCCGGCGCGCGAGGAGTAAAAGCGGACTAATGATGCACACTAGACTTAATGCTCCGTTCCTGTTCTCATTTCCCACAAAGGTGCGAGCTGCCTGCGGGATGTCAGCCTAGAAGTAGTTCCGGAGGTAGTGCAACGTGGTCAGAAGGTGATTCTGCGCTGCCATTACGATCTCGAGGAGACACTTCTTTACTCCCTCAAGTGGTACCGCGGCAACCATGAGTTCTACCGCTACATGCCCAGCGAGAAGCCGGCCACGAAGGTCTTCAACATTACCGGGATTTACGTCGACGTAAGTGTCAATATTTTTTCTCCTATCTGCAATATACATATACAGTGGTTCAGACGTGAATAGAGCGGGGACCCCCTTCTGTTTGAAGTCCCGAACTTATAAAGAGTTTATAAAAAATTATATCAGAATTATTTATACAAAATCGTGAAGAATTATAAATGAATAAAACCAAATTTTGCTTTTGATATGTAGAGATTCTCCAAGAACTGTATATCATTTGACACGAAGATTCTAACAAATACTTTGTTTAAGCACACCTCATTCTTCCTCAGCCATAATTTATTTCGCAAGTGTGCTATATAACGTACTAACAACATTATGAGTTGAGACACGAATATAACTCTAAAGTTATAACTTAATGAGGACAGAAGATGAAAGTTAACGAGACCTGGACGAATAACAGGAAACTTGGATAGAAGTAAAATCGTGGAACTTGTTTTTGCTGAGAATAAACCAAAATGGTCCGTTGTCAAATTTTCATCAATTATTCGTGAATCATATTTAAAAATTGAAAATTTATATAAAAACGCAGAGTGCTCGTGCAATACAAATATAAAAATCAGTTCAATTCAACTTTGTATTTAAAAATTTATATTCAATCTGATATAAAATTCAAGTAACTGATGGAAAAATATTACATTATTCTGACGATCGGGGATTAAAAATAGCCTAGAAATTTCGTTTAAAACCTAATAGCAGGAATAAGCGTATCAGGGTTCGACAATGATTCGTTTTGGGGGAAATTGTGGAAGGCGGCGCTCGGGGCCCGCATCAGTCGACGAAACAACAAACAAGTGGTGGTTCAGTCTGGATGTCCCGCGGTATTAGCCTTCCGGTTGGCCGGGGACGATCCAAATATGTGGTTTTATTGCATTGCGTTGGCCGACGCTCGTTAACAGCATCCTTGACCGCTGTAATCGCCGTAAAACAGGCCGCTTTTATCATCGTTCGGACGTGTCCGCGCGTGCGACGCAAAGCGACGGGTTACACGCACTGCCGCATCGGTTTTGAGGAAACCACCATCGCGCGTGCATACGGTATACATACCGGCGCGTTTACGCGACGGAAAACAAGCTCCAGCTGAGCGCCGCGCCGATATCCCATGTTTCAGAACCAACAATATTCGCGAACGCAGCCGCCTTGCTTACCCATCACAATCATTAGCATAGAATAATAAAATAAAACTCATAAAAATTCCTATAAATAATCTGCCGATTTTTAGACAAAATAATATCAACTTAGAAACAATAGTGTGAATCGTAATTCCTTTTATTCTGTGAACATTCTGATAAACATATTTATATACTTTTTTTATATTTTTTATGAATATAAATTGACGGGAGTAAAGAGAAACGTGTTCCCTCTTCGACTTCGCTTGCTCTCGTTCTCATTAAAAGCCACCCTTCGATCTCTTCACTCCTCGGCCGGGTGTCTCTCCCACTTGAGTCCGCGGTGCATCTTTTTGCTTCGTTATTTAAATCATACTAATTATGCATATTTTGCCTCCGTTCCGATGAAACGATCCTCCGCCACTTTCCCCACCGGCCCGGGGGGGGGGGGGTGCTTCAAGCGAGCTATCTTGCTCCCGGTGTCTCGACTTTCGCGCTTGCTTCATCGAGCCAATTTACTCGAGTGCAGGGTAATTCCTGATAAGATGACGATTTTCTCGAGTGCCTTGCTCTCGACGATACCCCCGGTCGCTCGCTCGCCCCAGAAACATTTAGGAAAAAAGCATCCTTTGTCGCGACACCCTGCCCCGATATTAACGTTCCGCTGTTTGTTTTTACCGTAGGATAAGAACGAATCCTCCGAGCATTTTTCTATGTTGCATACTCGCTTGCAACAAACGAAATTAAAATATGGAACACAGGTTCAATTCGATAATAATTATTACAATTTATAAATTTATATTCAATCTGATATAAAATTCAAGTAACTGATGGAAAAATATTACATTATTCTGACGATCGGGGATTAAAAATAGCCTAGAAATTTCGTTTAAAATCTAATAGCAGGAATAAGCGTATCAGGGTTCGACAATGATTCGTTTTGGGGGAAATTGTGGAAGGCGGCGCTCGGGGCCCGCATCAGTCGACGAAACAACAAACAAGTGGTGGTTCAGTCTGGATGTCCCGCGGTATTAGCCTTCCGGTTGGCCGGGGACGATCCAAATATGTGGTTTTATTGCATTGCGTTGGCCGACGCTCGTTAACAGCATCCTTGACCGCTGTAATCGCCGTAAAACAGGCCGCTTTTATCATCGTTCGGACGTGTCCGCGCGTGCGACGCAAAGCGACGGGTTACACGCACTGCCGCATCGGTTTTGAGGAAACCACCATCGCGCGTGCATACGGTATACATACCGGCGCGTTTACGCGACGGAAAACAAGCTCCAGCTGAGCGCCGCGCCGATATCCCATGTTTCAGAACCAACAATATTCGCGAACGCAGCCGCCTTGCTTACCCATCACAATCATTAGCATAGAATAATAAAATAAAACTCATAAAAATTCCTATAAATAATCTGCCGATTTTTAGACAAAATAATATCAACTTAGAAACAATAGTGTGAATCGTAATTCCTTTTATTCTGTGAACATTCTGATAAACATATTTATATACTTTTTTTATATTTTTTATGAATATAAATTGACGGGAGTAAAGAGAAACGTGTTCCCTCTTCGACTTCGCTTGCTCTCGTTCTCATTAAAAGCCACCCTTCGATCTCTTCACTCCTCGGCCGGGTGTCTCTCCCACTTGAGTCCGCGGTGCATCTTTTTGCTTCGTTATTTAAATCATACTAATTATGCATATTTTGCCTCCGTTCCGATGAAACGATCCTCCGCCACTTTCCCCACCGGCCCGGGGGGGGGGGGGGGCTTCAAGCGAGCTATCTTGCTCCCGGTGTCTCGACTTTCGCGCTTGCTTCATCGAGCCAATTTACTCGAGTGCAGGGTAATTCCTGATAAGATGACGATTTTCTCGAGTGCCTTGCTCTCGACGATACCCCCGGTCGCTCGCTCGCCCCAGAAACATTTAGGAAAAAAGCATCCTTTGTCGCGACACCCTGCCCCGATATTAACGTTCCGCTGTTTGTTTTTACCGTAGGATAAGAACGAATCCTCCGAGCATTTTTCTATGTTGCATACTCGCTTGCAACAAACGAAATTAAAATATGGAACACAGGTTCAATTCGATAATAATTATTACAATTTAAAATTTGTATTCTGCAATCCTAGTTATAGTCAAATCTTACAATAATTTCATATATTGTTCAGTGAAATATTAATTTGTTCCAAACATTATATTAGGATTTATAGGCATATAGATAGGCATTAATAAGGATGGGAAACAAACAATTGTTTGGGAATTAAGCAATGTCATCGAGCCCGTTAATTAGACACAGAGATTGCAATATGCAAATTGAATTCCTCGCTCAGCTTGCGGCTCGGTTTAAATAATAAGCTTTTGTTCGGGCATCCTGATCATCCGGTATCGACGATCCGGCGCGGTGCCGAGACACGATCGTTAATAATAATTTATCTATTAATAATCCGGGGATACGCATGTGCCCGCTCGCGTGGCGATTTAACAGGATACCGAACAAAGATTCGTTCTGATTAGATTAACACAACGATAATTTATATCGTTTATGTCATTCTCGGTTTGCCGAGGAGGGCATTATCGTTTGAGCAGTGCCGAAAGGCGCGGTATCAAATTATTGCTACGCTAATAAGTACCGGAATTAGATATTATCATGTTAATTACGCGATAACGTTATTTTCGCAACCCGCGCGTTTATATATCATCATTAATCCGCGTGCTTCCATTATTAAAACTTGAAATTATGCAAATGAAAAATAGCAATGGTATTTCACATTAAATTCATTTTTCGCGGCTTTCATTTATACGTCATCAGATTTTATTTCTGTCCATGGTTAATAGGTTCACATCGTCATCTTGGTGATTATGTAATACTCAAAGTATCCGTCCCTCGGAACTATAAATAGTAAATGCGACACCTGCACAAGCGATGCTGTCGATATAACAGAATAACAAGCTTAAATTCCACGATTATGAAGCTTGCATCGAGTTAAGTTAAAACGACGCGAAGAAGGCAATGAACCGCGCGCGCTCGTTAATCCGATGAAAACGGCAAAGAGACCAAGCCTTGTATAAATTCGCCTCGTCGGCCGATCGCATCAGCACGGAATTTGATTCGAATTATAACTGGTCCAAATAAATCGAATTATCGTTAATCGGCAGGCATGCGTGGGATTTAACGGTAACCGAGTTCTAACTTTCTATGGCGCGCGATTATAATTCTATAGCCGCCGATTGCGAATGTTCACTTTGCAGCTCTCTGTGTTACAGACCAGGAACTCGAACGAGAGCCAGGTCACGATACGCGACGTCGACTTCGCCCTCTCGGGTACGTTCACCTGCGAAGTAACAGCCGACGCACCCACCTTCTCCACGGCCTCTGTCTCCAAGAACCTCACGGTAGTGTGTAAGTACACCCTTCATGATGTTACGCAAGAATATTGTGCTAGAAACAGGGAAACTCGACGTATTCAGTATGAATTGCGGCACGCCGTCGTTCGTGTGTGCTTGGATATTTCCCACCCTCGCGAGACACAATGTGACGTTAAACACAGTACAGAAAGCAATGATAACAATATTTGACAACTCTTGTAATCACATAAGATTATAATTTTAATCCATGAATGATTAAATGAATTGCGATTATGATATGAAATGGCTAATGTATTTGAGCAATATATACTACAGAGGAATTTTATACATAAACATTTATTTTTTAAAATGTAGCTACATTTAACGAGTCTGTATTTCTAAAGAAAAAATATAAGATAGGAAGGATAAAATTCAGCACACAGCGCAGCGTTTCTCTTTAAATTCTCCTCTCAACATTTTCCAATTTTCTCCACCTTCACGTGCAAAGATCTATAACCCAATTCGCTACGTGGAACCAGCCAGTATATGCACGCGGACCTCACTGAGTCTTAAATATAAAGTAAAATTATACTCCTGTTTCCGACACAATCCTGAAAGAGTAACGTGTCTATTCTTCTTATTTACAGCTTTTAAAGATTCTCGTGAATAAATCAAATGAATTTATATTTCTATCCGTCACGTTCTGTGCATAGCACGATGCATTCTTGTACAAAGCATATTTAAAACAGTAGCACACTGACAAACATAAAAATGATTTAACATCAGTTCGATATCAAGATAATTATAGATATGAACTTCAGTTTGGATTTACACAGTAGAAACCTGTGAATGGTAACTCCAAGCTATTGCTTTATTCCCCTAAAACAAATCAGCGGTCGCGTCCATTTTGTGCATTTTCAATAATCTGACTGAAAGTAAAATACGGAGGATTAACATACAGCAGTCGGTTGCCTTTGCGTCTTATCCCCCTGCGCTAAATCTGTGCGAATTTCGACAGCGCTGTGCGTAGCTCGCGGTGAAAGTTTCTGCTTGATAGCATCATTAACTCAGCTTGGGTTTGATCCGAGTCAGTTGCACCCTCGAACCCCTGTGAAGCGGCTTCGTTGTCGCAAATGATTTCGTGCGCGCCGTCTACCGGTTCTGTATGTACATATGTAGTACGTGTATATATGTACAAATATGTATGCATATACATGTATAGATACGCGGATACATACGGTTGGTCGTGAAGCTGGTTCTCACGTAAATTCGCGGAGTGTTTCTAATTTCCTCGAGCACGCCGCGGCGAGACGGGGGTGCGGCAAGATCAAAGGGGTGCTTCTGGGGTTAATCAGTGCACGCCGCAGAATCGCGAGTACGTTAACGTGTTTCCCGAATTCACGGCGATCTTTCAGATGCAGACAGTTTAACACTGACGTAAATGAACTCTATCGAGACTCGGTTAATTTAACCGAAGTTCGTGTATTAACGCCTTTCGATGATTTAATCAATCCCGTGTTTCTTAATTGCTGTCCGAATTCATTATGCACGTTGGAATTAATGAATGAAGGTTAACAAAAAGAAACGTGTTCAACAAAATTATTCATTGAGCTGAGTTTTATTAGTTTTTGTTCATTCCTCTTATTGAAATTAACTGACTATTAAAATACTATTTTCGGTTCGATACTGGGTCGTTATTTAATAAAACGGCGTGATAGCCGTGTGCCAATTTATTCATTGTCCTCCGAGTTTAGCTAAAACTTGAAATCCGCGAAGTTGATAGAGGCGAAACTTTCACGGGAACGTTGCGTGCGTAAATATTGGAGCAAAGTTCCTTGCGCGCAGTCGAATACATGCGAAGAAAGGATAAAGTTTCGAAGAAGGTAAACACGACACGAGCTGCGGACACAATGTGCAAAAATTAACGATACGTCAGATGCAATTATAGAGAGCTCGTTTTATTTTTAATTAA